ATTTCGATCAATATCCTTTTGAACCCATATTTAATACTGTTGTTTTCCTTTTGAGTCTTAAACATTCCGTCATCTACTATAAGTGTCTAAGCAAAAGAGATATTGATAGAAATTGATGAGGAACAAAATATTGAAACGTATCTAGATACATAGGATACTAGAAAAACTTTTTCATTCAATATATCTAGATGCTGTATACTGAGATCAAGTATTTTGCACTAATGCATAGACATGTCTAGGATTATATGCAAAATTTTAGATCCCTAGACTTTGTAGAATGTCTTATTCTTACAATTTTTTCAGATCAATCATGCATTTTTTTTTTATTGACTTACAAGATCGATTTCGGAGTAGGATCTTATTTTTAACAGAAAAATTTTTCAATATACTTAAAAAGTTATGTTCTTTTAGTATAGGCAGGGTGAGATCTACAAGCTTTAGATTGGATAGTTCGTATTCGTACCTCATGAATTTCAATTGAGGAAATTCTTATTGTCCATTCACGTTGTTTTTCAGGTGCTGTTAGCTCAGATATAAACGATGCTGTTCGAGTGATAATTGAAGACGCTTCTCACTGAACATATGGATTAATAGAAGGCACTCGAAGCATCATTTCGTCTACAATTATTTCTATTTGTTTACGTTTCTACAACGTTTTATGCTCGATAAATACATTAACCCAATGTTCTATATGCTTTAGGCAGACATTAATAGCCTTTCAAAGATTCATCTCGAACTCCATCTTCTTGACTTATTTTAATCAAATGTACCAATGCATTATTGATAAGGAGTAGTACTTTTAAATAACAATACTAGAACCAAACCTGTCAATATTTCACTAAAAGATTGGCGAAAAAAAAAAACTTTTCGAGTATCCTATGTACATATCTAATCATCAATACTTATAATTTTGCTTACTTTCCGAAAAATTAAACCCATATAAGCAATACGCAATTGTGCAGCGATAAGATCAGTTTTGTAAATATACTAAAAAAATTAATCATAGATTATATATAAATATGAAAATAAAACTGATACCTCATTGAAAATAGTACCCGAGATCAAAGAAGCAATAGTAGTAGCCATTGCAAAAAGCCATGCTTGCCAAGCAGGTATTGTAGAACATGGTTCAAAGAAATTCATAAGAAATATTAATAATAATGGTTGAGCAATTCGAACCAAACTCTATACAATAAAATAAAATAATTTATTTTTCACTTAAGACACTTAAATCAAAATTAGAATCAAAACAAAAGATCTATATTGTTACATTTTTCTTGATAGAGAATACTATTTTGATGTTCATAAAAGATTTGTCTATTGGCTTCAATAATAGACAAAAGATCTACTTACATTTAATATTTCGAGAAAACCAAGAAGAAATGGCCTCCATCCTAAAGTACGTAAAGTTGCTCGAATTAAGCTTGGTTTCTGTGGATTTCGTTTAATTTCATCAAACCAATTTGCTTCGAGTTTATCCGTAAGTGTTGATGATTTAAGATCCGCAGGAAGATCATAAAGATCATTTAAATAAAGTGTACTTTGTTCACGACTTTTTTCTAATAAAGGTGATATCCAACTATTGAAATAGTTAAATTATTGTTAATATTTGAAAGAAAAAAGAAATAAATGCGATCACTTACTGATGAATAAATCGTGAAAATTTATTAGCATGCAGGTAAGGAGCAGAGTCGGTCGAAGAAGCCGATGACATCTTTATGAAAAAGAATTTTTTTTTGTGATTTTTGGGTTGTAGTTTTTTTTTTATTCTGGTCTCTTGTTGTATTAAATATCAACTATAACAAAAAAGAAATCAGTCCTTGACACATAAAACGAGAAAAAGAAAATCCATAAGTCAATAAAACGGTATTTTTCTTTCTTTGAAACCATGTGTTGACTGTCCCAAATACGTGCACTATATATATAGATAGATTTGCAATCAATTAAACAGTACTTATCATATATGACAAAAAATTATGCGATATTTCATCAACACATATGTTAATATTGCAAATAGATAGTAATTTTAAAAAAAACTAATCAAAAAATACGAAATCCTTTGAAGTACTATAACTACATAATACTATATACCTGAAATGTTTCATATAATTAAAGGACGAAATCAAAAATTACATAAAAAGACTATAGATTAAATCCATAGGTATTCAACCACTGTTTTCGAAAAAGTTTATTTTTGATCACCTTTTTCATGCTAATTAAATGAGAAATAGCTAAAATTAGAAACATATTCTCGACGTATCTTATGAAGATCGTCGAAGTTATTAAAATATTTTGAGCTCATATTTTGCTGATTAGTAAAAGAGCAATAGACCAGAACAACCACCAACGAATTCTGCTTTTAATTGAGATTTAACTGTGTTATGAATGTTTCACAGTACACTACTTTTATAAAATTTTAGAAATATGGAAATTCACTATGTTATAGAAACATGCATTTCTCAGTCAAATCTCAATCAAAAGAAGAATCTTTTGGTGGTTGTACTAGCCTATTGATTCCCTATTAATAGAGACATATCAAGTGAAAGTCAGTAACATTTTTCAATCGCTATTGTTTTCTGATCGGTTCCCACCTAACTTGGATAAAAAAAGAAAAAAGCTTTTTGCAACCGGAACCGGATAGTTGTATCCATCAATCGACCGGTGATAATCGACATCCAACAGATATTTTCAGAGTCACAGCACGACTTTCAAACTATTATTTTGTATGAAAAGTGTATTATTTAGTTTCTTCCATATACAGCAAGAAAAAAACGAAATCACATCACGTCAATCAAAATAGCAAGTCAATCAGGATTCACTTAATGTCTTTCTGTTTGTAAAATCCAATCAATTTCGTTAAGTATAAGTTTGCTTATTGTTGATGACCCTGTAATGGAATGCAATCTTGGTGTTCAACGTTATAATCGTGAATACATCAATAAATGCTTTTTCCTTCACAATAATACATGTTCACCTTTTTCATAATTCATTTTCCTCTCCATATATTTAGTTACTTCGTCATGTGCTGCATCATCATCTATGCCAGAATTTTCATTCAAAAGAAATTCTTTTAGTAAAACAATATCCGTTTTCATTTCTGTGCCCTGCTCTCAGGTACAATAAATTATTTAATCATGATCGAACCGATTTTCGTCTCCATAACTTTATATAAATTTAAAACTTTCAAAAAGTAAACAATATTTTGAAATTTCAAGATCTCATCATGGGCCGAGTTGGATACTCAGTACTCGATTCGGTTGTAGGATACTAATGTCCATTGATTTATCCCATACTAAATCAAGCTAGTTTTTTATCAAAGAAAAACAATATACTAAGTTTTCTTTGACATAGTGCATTTTATTTATCAATCAAACTATTGTAAAGAATCATTTTTCATAAATTACCATTATATAACTGATAACAAATGTTAAATAAATTGTACATCTAATCAATAACTTAAAAAGACTAATAGTTTTATTTATATTCACATGACAAAGATCAATACCCATACAAATTAGTTAATTTTCAAAAAATTAGTTGCTCTTTTAAATGATAAAATATTTGTTTAATCGCCATTTATCTATCTGAGTATGTTTTTTTTCACGTAAAGTTCACTGATTATAGTATTCACTTTACTCCAGGCCATGACAAAAAAACGTCCTTTAATCTTCCGTCTTTCTCATACACAACTAACATGCGATATGAATAATTTACTTACGTTCTAGACTCATTGACGTCTTTTATACTAAGGTGAAAATATCGAAAGCATGAATAATTAAACTTTTTCTTTATCTCGGTATGTCATTAGAAGCAAAGTTTTAGTTTTGTTTGACTAAATTATTTTATTTTTGGACAATTATGCAAGTGAATTCATACATCTTAATTTTCAACATGTTCCTTTACAATTATTCATGTACTTAAGCTTTTATAGTATATACACTTCATCAAGAATGAACGCTATTCAACTTGTGTAGTAATTTATCTACGAATCGCAGTGTCTTTCAGGATCCCATACAAAAAGTCTTTCATAAAAAACAACAAGACGCCTCCACACAGTTTGTTACTAAGCTGCAATGTATGTTAATTAACAAAAATTACGAAAAAGCACATTCAGATGAGAATCTCTTCTATTCTTATTAGATAAAAGAAAAAGTAATTTGCTACTACTAGTGTAAAATTGCATTTTTGGCCAAGTGAAAAATAAGTATTTGAATAAAAGATAATTACAATTGTTTTTTTTATTTTTGATAATTTTTACTAATATCATATATATTTCATAATAAAAGATGGGCACATAAGATAATTTAAAGATGTCATTATGAAAGAAGGTAAAAACAAAACAAAACTAGCTTTCCGCTTGTATAATTTCGCTTTATATAAGTACATTGAGAAAAGAAATCATGTCTATGTATAATTGCTTTTCTAATCTGTGGTTCCGAGTGACTCTCAACGAACATGGTTTTTTTAATAAATCACTGGTTCTCAAAGAAAATTTTAATCAACAATTATTCTGCATGAGAGAAATAAATAGCAAATCGTTTTTTTGTCTCTATGTTAATATACTATTGACTTTAAGTTTCTATATGAGAACATTGTGCTCCGTGTATTGCGACCTTTACTTTCGAAAATTAAACTAACAGATTATTGTTCATGTAAAAAAATTTTTTTTTCTTTTTGATTCTTAGATAATTGTTAAGGATACTGAACTGTGTTTATTTCAAGATTCATTATTTAAATATGAATTAGTCAACTTTATTTTTAGTTTTTAATTGTGAAGAAATACTAACATGACTCTTCCACATTGTTAGATTCATTTTAAATAAAAACTCATGCCCGGTATTTTTTTTTTGGAATTTAGGTGTCAATTAAAATAAGCGGAATTTGTTATTTTATGTGGATAATGCATACATCAATATATTTATATACACTATATTAAACAACATAATTACGTTTTTATTAATTCATTTTATTTTTTGACATTTGTTGCTTCCATAAATTCAATGGAGATGAATTCAAATACAGTGGGAATGATTCTTCTTGCTATTTTTCAAATACCATCTTTCTGCTGTGCCATGCTTATTTTCTTACAACTTCTGGACAAAACGAATCCATTACGACGTTTACAAAATCATTTACTTGTATATTTATTAATCTTTGCTACATGTACTATTATTATTGAATTACCTAATACACAAAAATTTCTTTGGTCAGGTTTTGCCACCATCCAAACAGATTGGTTTTGTCATTTTTGGAATTTCCTTTTCTTTTCTATGGCCTCACTTAATCGTTTACTGACAGCATTATTGTCTATTGAACGTCATATGCTTGTATTTCATCCTCATCTCTATCGTACTCATCGTTCACGTTATTTATTTCATTACACTCCTCTCATATCTATTATTGCAATCAGTGTTATCTATATGTTGATTACAAATCTCTTTATTACATGTTCAAATCATTCGTTCAATTATTCAGTTTTTATGTGTGGTTTTCCATGTTCAGTGATTGTACAATATTTTGGTACACTTTACGTATGGTTGTATGTTTTTATGCCTACAATGATGACGATTATTGCTTGTGTATTATTACCTATTCGATTTATCATTCAAAAACGACGTTTTCAACGTATGCAATGGTATCGTGCACGAAAAATGATTATTCAAACAAGTGTTATTGCTAGTGCATTTACAATTTGTTGGTTACCATATACAATTATCCTTCAATTACTTATTAATAAACGTCTATCTATACTTCATCCAATTATAAATTCACTTTTGACGTTTACACCATATGTAACTTCATTATTAACTCCATTCATTGTTCTTCATACAGTATGGGAATGGATGAAGCCTGCAATAATACAACATATTAAACATTGGTTTTTTCCACAACGTCAAAGAATTATTCAACCAATTAGTAATTTAGTACCTACGCCAGCAAATCAGTTTATAATTAACAAAGCATAATCTAACTGTACATAAACTAAACGATGAAGAGCATATTGTGATTTTCTTTTTGAATTCGATTAAAATAAAAAGACACACTCATGAGTTTCTATTTGATGATCACAAATACGGGATTAGAATAATACAAATTGATTAAGTTTGATGTTTTTTGAAAATTATTACAAAAAGTTCAATAGTGTATAACGAATTTGAAAAAAATGATTTATTATGATCTCTCTTATGAGACCAGATGAAAATTAAAGTCTCAGAAATCTTACGCAATATCATATTGTAAGATTTTTGAAAGATATAATAAGAAATTTTATATTACGATGACACCTTTCAACAATTAGCTAAATAAATTATACATTCAAAATTAGATAGTCTATTTTAGAAAAAAGATGATGACATAAATTGTAAGTATTAACATCTATGAATGAATGCATATAAAAATAGAATTAGTGTCTGTATCTGTAATAAAACTTGCAGATAGTTTACTTTTGTCATTGAGCTAATATAAGAACTACAACTTAAAAAAGTTAAAATTCTTTAATACTTGACCAGGCTGTATATATAAATATACAAATATTTTCTTCTTTATTATCATGACCGAGAACTTGTCAAAGATTTTATTTATAAGGAAATCGTCGAATAGATGTCTTGTAGAACTAACATTATTGGCTTCAATGAATAAATATACTGTTGGCTAAAAGTAGCGCATTCGTCATTATATAATCCTTTAATGTGGCTATTCACGCTATAAATTTGATCGAGTTTCATCGAGAGCAACCAAACACTGCAAATATTTTACATAATAATAGGTTAACCAAATAGTAAACTTCTCTTTTTCTTCAGTTACAAGATTCATTCTACTACGAACTATTATTCAACATAACTCCTGTTCAATTCAAAAGATCATACCCGACCCGATCTCGTTGGCCTACAGTTCTAAGGTAGTAGATGTGCTAAAGTTTTCTCAGATGTGCAACCGTAAGAACGGCTGAGATCACCGAGCAATATATTCGGCTAGTTGTATGTTTCTTCATTGAGGTCAGTAGTACTAGATCGAATCAGTATCCACTATCCATTCTCTTATGAATAAAAAGTTTGAAAAGGCTTCTGCAACCGAGAAGAGAAAATCGGTTCGATTGATTAAAGCTAGTTACAGATAGTGAGTGTTTTGATCAGTTTATGGGCTATTCTGTATGCCATGTGTTTTTTCTCAATGTCCAACTTTAATCATATGTTTATGGTATCTATTTCTATCAAACATTATTTTCTTATTCCTTTTTTGTGCTCGTTCCTCAAATTATATACTTCTCATTATTTTCCCATAAGAATTATAATGTTATAATCATATATATTCCAATTATTACTAATATTTTTGTTTTTTTATAAATAATGTTTTCATGTGATTATACAGATTTATTCTTGATGTGAACGAGTATTATACCCAGTTCATATAAAATATGTTAATTATTATCCTTCAATAAAAATCTTATTACAATTGAAGGTTTCATTTTAAATTCAAAAATTTAAAGTATTTTTCTTTTTTGCTATAAAAAATTGAATATTATTCTATTTTCTCAATGTTATTTTTATAGATATTTCTTATGGAAATAAAATATTTATTCAAAAAAAGATTAAACATATGGAAAATTACATTAGACATATTGATTAGTCAATTCATGTACTCATAAGAATACAACTATTTCTTCTCTATCTAGTAATTCTCTATTCTTTTCAAACTAAAACATCAGTCATTGACATTATTCAAGTCAAGAATAATAATTCGATTTCATTTATTCTTAAATTTCCGTTATTTTTCATTTAATTATACACAACATTAGAAATCTTAATGTACCTTAATATAAGCTAATACACTCATCATGTTTGCCTTCTTATCATCTTCTTCTTTCAATATACATGTCTATATATTGCATACAATCATCATATACAATGAGTGATTGATGATAGTCTGATGTTTATATATGTTTTTTAGCTATCGTCTTTACATGTTAGTCTATCTTATACATCTAATCAATCGTTCTCTTCTTACGGTCACTAAAATCAGACATATTCAATATAAATTATGATGAGAGATTCCGGATATTGTTGATCAATGACATTTTAATAGTACACTAAACACAAAAATTTGATTTGACATATATATATACGTATGATTTCCTCTAAACTGTTGAAAAATAACTGGAAGAGAATTAATTCAATAACCAAAATCCAATACATTAATCAAAATAACAATGTGTATATTTTTCTTTCGAAAAAAACAAAAATGTATATCAGAAATATGCCTGAGGAGTAATTAACAATGAAAGAGAAGTATCGTCTACTCTATCGATGATTGAATGCACCAATAATATCAACAAGAGTTAAGATCGTTCGTTTGCTTATACATTTATTTCAAATATATCTATGCCGTTGGTAGCAACGGCTTTCTCTTGCGTTCGTCCGCTGTTTCTCTTCTTATTTTAAGAGAAAAGAAAATGTTTCGCTAGTCGGTCATTCTTCTAAACAAAAGCTGAATTTTCTTCTTCTTGTTCTTGTTCTTGTTCTTCTCTCGTTCTCTCTTTATTCTTTCGTGTCCGATTCATTTTATTAGAGAAAAGAGCCAACAACGGTCGTTATTTCAATTTTTCTTTCTATATTCTTCTTTCGTAGAACATAAAGAATGTCAGCCGAATTTCCCAACAACTTTAATAACGACAATACAAATCGTATGTTTTTAACCCGATATGTTCTTTTTGCAAAATAAAAAAATAAATCCGAATATTTTTTTTTGTAGGATGGATGAGTAATGTTAATATGTCTGGTCAAAATCTTTTTGCAGTACCACAGGTCGAAAAACCATGTCCTATTCCTGTTCCTTACGTTTATGGATCACCTGTCGGATGGAATGCAGCGGTATATGAGAAACTTTGTTTCATTTTTTATTATATTAAAATTTCGTTGCTTTTTTTTTTTGGACACAGATTGTTGCTTTATTATCTTGTTTATTGGCTTTGGTTTTTCTTTTAACATGTCTTTATTATTTGGCTTATCGTCGTCGTTATATGAAAGAAGTATCGGAATGTCCATCACCGGTAGTTCTTGTTGAAAAAACATCAACATCACCAAAATTAGTTACAAGTACATCACAAACTGCTACAACAACATTTATTAATGAAACAGGTAAAGAAACAAAAGTTAACACATTAAATGAACAAACATCAGGAACAACAGGTGCTGGCGATTTTGTTGGTATGACAACAATGATTAATGGACATACATCACCATCACATACGAATGGTCTTTTGGCTAATGGTAATACTGATCAAAGTGAACTTCGTTTACTTCAACATGAAGATCATTAAAATCAAGGAGTAAAAATATTTAGGAAAATTTTTTTTTTGTTTCTGTTGTGTTTATGTCACTTTTGTTCGAATAATGAATGAATACGTGAAATGATCTTGTCGTTGTTTCTCTTTATGGATGTGTGTGTGTGTATTTGTATTTAAATATTTGTGCAATTATCTGTACTTCTTGATGTGTTTATCTTCATTTGTGGAAAATAATATAAATATCATTTATCATTCTTTCATAAGTCATTAATAAATCTCGCTAATTTAAAACAAAAATCTATTTAGACTTTATCAAAAGAAGAAAATAAAATAAGAATACAAAAGAATTGATAATTCTCTTTTTATGTAATACCTGTTAACAGAAAGAACCATACAAAAGTTTTTTTTATCAGTCCTTTGAAGAAATCTTCAAAGGTTGATTTTAGTGTGATTTTTCAAAGTACTACCTTTCATTAATAATAAACTGGTAATATCGAATATAATAACTTGCGAAGATAGGATTTTGAGATAAATTTTTGGAATAATCATTGATACCTATTCAAAGTATGTGCTCCAGAAAGAAGTCACATGAGCTCAGATCTGTGGAACATGCTTGATCGATATATACCTTCATATGATTTAGGGTAATAACTTCATTGTGTGTTGAGAATGTCAATAGAAAACTGAAACATCTAATATTCTTCTTTTATTTTTCTGGTGAAACAATTTGAAATTTACGTTAGGTAGGTATTGTCAAGTTAACTTCCATCAACTAGATCTCAATGGAACAAGCTTTGTCAGGCTACAGTTTGTAGAAAAAAATGGCATGATGCACTGGTTTGAACTTTTGTTTTAATGAGCTTTGACTATGTGTATGTTGTTTGATAATAATCGTACATTTGACTTTGACTACACCTCTTATTCTCTATTCTAATTAAATAAGTATGATCAATTGTCAGTGATAATGTCAAATACAAGGTTGAAATTTGTCCACCCAAATATCTTCAGAGAATTAGGAAATGATTGAATATAAAACTACTTTCAGTCATAAATAAACAAATAATTCGCTTATTGAACATAAAACTTAGTAAAACTTTAAAAAAATGAGAATAATCGGTGGTAAAATTATGCTTCGAGTATCTTCTATTAAATTTGTTTTACTTTATATAAATGAACTTTCTAAATTTCAATCAAAACTGAAATAGTTGTCGAAAGTATGAAAAATTTTGTTATGTTTTATATCGTAAAGTTGAATATTGATTTTTTTAGTTCTACGTGATATATTCGATGAAGTACTGTCTGTTACTTGTCACTTTTGGTAGTGTTTTTGATTTGATTGATTGATTGATTGTTTATGAACTCTGGATTTATAACGTACTACGAAACATTTTATAAGTTGCTAGAAAAAGAAAAATATCTCGGTAACACTAGATAATTTTGTTACGAAATCATCCAGTTGAGTAACTTGTTTTTTTGTTTTCATCCATCATTCAATAACTACTTTGTAAGTGTCGTTATAACAGATGTCAAAACTGATTTTATTATTTTTAATAAGGCGTTTTTCAAATGATAATGAAAATTAATAAAAAGAAAACTAAAGAGAAGTTATGTGAAAACATTGCATCAATATTATTAATTAAAAAGACGGAATCTTTCCATTTTGCGACATATAGTTACTATAAAAAAGGTAAAAAGTGTATTTGTATTACTGTGAAATAGACATAAGAAAAGAAAGAACGGTAAAAATCTATTCTATATTGATTGAAATCAGACTGATAAATGCAACTTGACATTGCACTTACGGATTACTAAAGTGCCTGTAAAGTACACTAAAGGTGATCATTTTGAAGACATCTTTTTATTGTTCTGGTTGATTAGCTATTCGTACGCGTTCTCGTATACTATAAGTTTGACAGTCAAATAAGATATAACTATGCTTTTCTATTTTGGTTACCTGTTGCTTATTTATTTCTGTGCCTATTCGTAACTATTATTGACGATTTTCAAAATAAAACGAAAAACTATGGTTTGTAACTGAATGTATTCTTTTCGTTCATCAAAGTCTTTTTAATTTTTTTTAATAGACTTTCCAAGCACATTCAGTTGGAAATAATTTTCTAAAGCCTCAAATCAATACTTTAGGTGATTGTGTACGACAAAGTGTATGTGTATAATAAACATGATATATCTTTATTTTTGATTAAAACTTTAATTCTTTTCAATAGAATTCAATTTGGCGTTCACAAAACTATTCTAATATACAACGTGATCTTGATTGGTATAATTATTTAAGACGACAAGCAGATTTACCAATTCAACCTGGTACTCCTTATGGTAGAAGACGAAGACATAGAACTCAATCCCGAACTCAAGAAGTAATTACATCTAATGATGATGATATTGGTCTAAGTAAAGTAGATTTTACTTCTGCACCAGTTACTTTAACATGGCTTGATTTACAAGCTAAAGCACCACCACAAGATAAAGGTATGAAGCGAACACTAACAAAAGCACTTTGTCCATCGAAAGAAGTTAGTAAATCAAAAATGTTACTCAAAGGAGGTGAGAATAAGAAACATTATCTTTTTAGAGTTTTTTTTTTTTACATTTAAATTAATTTAGTTAGTGGTATTGTTAAACCAGGTCAATTATTAGCTATAATGGGTGCTAGTGGTGCTGGTAAAACAACATTAATGAATCTTTTAGCACATCGTCGACCTGGAACATTAAAAGTTACTGGTGAAGTTAGAGTAAATGGAACAAAAATGGGTCGACATATAAATCGAGTAGCTGGTTATGTTCAACAAGAAGAATTATTTATACCATCAATGACAACAAGAGAACATTTATATTTTCATGTAATTATTTCTATATTACATTGAGTGTTTCTTTTGAAAATTTTTCTTTAGGCTATGTTACGATTGAATCGTGATGTATCAAAAGAACAACGTATTAAACGTGTGGATGAGTTATTAGATTTTGTAAGTATATATAAATTTGAAAAAGTTTTCATTTTGTTTTAAATATTTGTTTTGGATAGTTAAACTTGAAAAAAGCAGAAAAAACAGTTATTGGTCAACCTGGACGTATCAAAGGTTTATCTGGTGGCGAAAAGCGACGTTTACTTTTTGCTGCTGAAGTATGTCTTTGTTTGTTTTTTTGTAATTATGATTGTAATGATGGTTTTATTTTTCTATGAAAATATAGGTACTTAATGATCCACCATTATTATTTGCTGATGAAGTAATTGATTTATTCTTTTAAGAAATTGTTTTAAAAAAAAAATTGTTTTTCTCTATGCTTTTGTAGCCAACCTCAGGTCTTGATGGCAGTATGGCATTTATTATATGTGATGCAATGCGTAAATTATGCAATCAAGGAAAAACAATTGTATGTACAATTCATCAACCGTCAAGTGAAATTTTTCAATTATTTGATACGTAAGTTAAAATAGTGTTTTGTTTATTTTTGAAGTTCTTTATGTTTTATATTTAGACTTTATTTATTAGCTGAAGGACGTGTAGCTTATTTTGGATCAAGAAAGAAAGCACAGGATTTTTTTAGTGGGTAAGATAAGTAGATATACTATGAATTTTTATTAGGAATGAGATTTTTCTTATATTTAATAATCAGTTGTTGAAATAAAAACATATAACGTAGAATTATAAGGAACTGCTGAATAACATTGTTTTTTCATGAATAATATTTAAATGGCAATTGTAAACTATTCTATTTCTAGGTTGGGTTTCAATGCACCAGATAATTACAACTTATCGGATTTTTATATACAAACATTGGCTATACTTCCATTTAACAAAGAAAATTGCTTAGAACGTGTCGAAGTAAATATTAATAAAAGAATTCTAAGTAATTTTTCATGATTTTCATTTCATTTAGTATATTTGTGATGAATATGAACAAACATCACTCTATGCTCAACAGGTTGCCGAAGCTCAACAATATCATACTATTGATGATGATCAAACAGAGACATCGGGTGGATTATTTCGTCGTTCATCAAAGTTTGTTGTCAATAATAAACATAAAGATATCAAATTTTTTTTTTAAAAAAAAATAATTCATATTTAGATATAAAACTGGTTTTTTTACTCAACTTCATTGGTTATTATGGCGTTCATCTATAGATCAGTTTAAAAATCCATTTGAATTTCGTATTCGTTTTATTTTATCAGTAGTTATTGGTGTTATTTTTGGTCTTCTCTTCTTACGTTTAAAATATAATCAACAAGCATTTCAAAATATATCATCAATTATATTTATGTTGATTATTAATATTTCATTTTCAAGTGTTCAACATAATGCTGATGTAATTTGAAAAATAATTGGTTTTAATATGTAATTTTATTCTGATTTTTTGTTTTGTTTAGAGTTATAATCGAGAATTATCATTATTTTTCAAAGAACATGATGATGGAATCTATCATACAATACCTTATTATGTATCAAGATTTGTTCTAGAATTACCAACACAAGCATTATCAATATTTATATATGGAACTATTGTTTATTGGATGACAAATTTATATAATAATGTTCGAAGGTATTTTATTTTACAAGGTATTCTTATTTTATGTGGTGTAGTTGCAAGTTCTGCAGGTAAATCAAATGAATTAGAGAAAAATCGCTGTTTTTGATCGATATTATTGTATTTTAGGAGCACTTATAGGTGTCTCTGTGCCTTCTCCTGATGCTGCTGCTGCACTCGTTGTTCCAGTCGTTATTCCACTGCTTGTCTTTGCTGGTTTTTTCATAAATACAAAGTAAATTAAAATGAAATCAAATAGTGTATCGAAAAATTTCTATGATTGCTCTTGTAGAACAATACCTAATTGGCTTATTTGGATAAAATATCTTTCATGGCTTTATTATTCAAATGAAATGGCTTTAATTAATCAATGGGAAGATGTTCAATCACTTGAATGTGATCAAGCTACTAATTCAACTTGTTTTCATAATGGTGATGATGTTCTTAATTACTACGGTTTTCAAAAAGTATGCAGAAAGAAAACTTTTCTCACATGATATTATGTGTATGTTTCATTTTTTTAGAGCCACTATGGTCGTAATTTGGGTTTACTCTTTGTTCTTTTCGGTGCTTTTCGAATCATTAGTCTTACTGTTTTGCTTTTAAGAGCAAAATTGCAACGACAAACAGGATAAATATTTAAATTACATTTGTTTATTTTTATTTTTATGGATACATTTTGATTTGTTATATAAATTATACATAAATAAATAAAGGATTCTTCATAATACATGATCCACTTATGCACGAATGAAAGAACATATTACCTATCCATTTTTTTTCACTAACTCTTATTAGAGACAGAAATGAGTTAAAAAACATTCGATTCGACTCAAGTCGAGTCACTGAACATCGACTCAAACATCGAATGTTCATATTCAAAAGCGTAGTAGAGCAGAAGACGCTGATGCGGGCAGACGTGTATATCTTCACAGTGGATGAAGATCGTGTTACTATAAAGGACATGAAACAGACGAGGACGCGTCGAACACATGTGATATTGAACTGCCGTATGATAAATCGATCGACATGCTCGAAGAAAGAGCAATCAAAATTTATAGCTAAAGATGTTTTATCCATGAGGAGATATGGAAATGGCAAGAGGGAGTACCATTCTGCCACATGTTGCCCTATTAATTAGTGATATAGGTTTGTAATCGTTCGATTCATTGTGCTCTATTTGATGCTGTCAGTTCATTGTCATTTATTCATCGTACTACTTTGTTCGACCAATTCACCAAATGATAATAACGGTTAATCGTGAGAAATCAGCTCAGTTTCGATCTATGGTGAGTAAGTTAAATAGAATCAAGAAAAATGATTATAGCTAAAATATAGTATTCTGTAAGTAGCATTAATAGAGATCGGTTCTACATCGCCTAATGGTGCCACTGCACCCGTTCTAATCGTCATTTTACTTCTTCTCTTTGCTGGTTTTTATGAGTACAAAATAATAAGCCATGGAGAAGTCTTTGGAAAAAAGTCAAATCTTGTGAGACTATATTGCTGACTTCTGAGTCAATCAAAATTTTTTTGTTAGAAAAAGCTATGTCTGAGTTACAAAGTTTGTAGCAGACATATTTTACAAGATCGAATCTGATGAGGAGGCGAAGTCAAAAACTAGACACCTTAAAAAGAAAAACGTTCTTGCAACTTTATCATCGAGCAACATCATTTTTCTTTTAGTTTTATATAAGGAGAGAAATGAGAAAGCAAGCTTAATAATGATTTTTTTGTAGCGGAAAGAGTACTGTTTCTATAGGTGTATTAGAAACTAAATTGATTCTTGATTTTTACAACAATAGATAGCTCTTTCTTCGAGAGACTGAGTTAGTCGATCATTCTCACCCCTTGATTGTTTTACAACTATATAAAAAGAAACTTGTTGAATTTTTTTCTACTAAAAATTGACGATTAGATGTATTTCAACCAAATAGCGCAAAAACAAAATCAGCTCATATATGATTTCTGAAGATGATAGCTCATGTTTTTGTAAACGAATGGTTGTCGCAAATAGCTCATTTTGGAAAAAAAATTCATGTTTCAAACTTTTTCGATTAAAGAGTCAAGAATGGATTCAAAAAAGGTTCTGAAAATTGATTTCGATAGAGTTTTTGATGTGCTACATATCGGTGTATTTCTTTGTTGAGTTTTGACTTGTGTAGCTCGAAATAATTGAGAAATACTGACTTTTCTAGTTGCAAGAGCATTGCAAGAACTATTTTTAAGGTATGTAGTTTTTGACTTTTTCGTCCTGCTCAGATTCGATCTTGAAAAATAGGTTTGGTATAAAATTTGTACTTCAAACGTCGCTCATTCTAACAAATAAAAACTTTGATTGGTTCAGAAGTCGACAATACGGTCTTACAGAGTTTGTCATTTTTCAAAAACTTTTGCGTCGTTTGTTAAATTGAAATGAAATAGAATACCGAGAAATTAATACTGTTGCCCATGATTGCTCTTCTGGAACAATACCTAATTGACTTATTTGGATAAAATATCTTCCATGGCTTTATTACTCAAATGAAATAACTTTAATTAATGAATGGGAAAATGTTCAATCACTTGAATGTGATCAAACGAGTAATTCAACTTGTTTTCATAATGGCGATGGTATTATTAATTATTATGGCTTTCAAAAGTATGTAAAAAGAAAATTTTTCTCACATGATATTATGTGAATGTTTTATTTTTTTTACAGCTATTATGGTCGTAATTTAGGTTTACTTATTGTCCTTTTTTTGTTGGTTTTCGATTTGCTACGCTTGGTATTCTTATATTACGAGCAAAATTTTAACGACAAATTGGATATATATTTAATATATATTGTTTATTTCTATTTTTATGTATACATTTTGATTTGTTCTATAAACGATTCATAAATAATACTAAAAGAAGTGTCGAGAAAAGAAAATATATCCTTTTCTTGGTTTGTTATGTATCTTAGTAATCTATAACTATTTATTATCATCATATTATCAACGGGTTTCTTTCCACACTCTGTCTCTTTGTCAGAAGAAACCACTAAGAATTCATATTTCTTCTGTTATTATTTTGGTCAAGGAACTTTCCCTGTTTCTGTTAGAAAGAACTTCAGCATTGTCGTACGCTGAGTAGTAAGGTAATATATTCTATGAAATATAGGTATACTTAAACAGCTACTTTTTCTTTCTCATTTAACTTCATTATTTCTAACATTGAAAATTATTAAGCATACCCATATATATGTATATATATATATATATAAGCAAATGACTCCATCCCTTACCTTATACTCTTCTTTTTTTTTCTTTCTTTTGCTTTTACTCTCTGTCACATCGATTTGCATTATATATAGCCTTGATTTTGCGTTTGTTTGATGATGATAATGATGATCATCGTCATCATCTCATATATATATACATATATATATATAAGTCATCTAATCGAGAAGGTGAGAGAGAAAGTACGAGAGCATTACGCGGGCATTTTTACGCGCTTAACTCATTATTCATATATTTTCTTAGTTTGATTTTGATTCACATATTTCATATATATATATATATAATATACTTCAGATCATGTCTCGTTCCGGTGCTAATAGAAAACAAAGCAAAGCAATTGGAATTGATTTAGGTACAACGTATTCATGTGTTGGTGTATTTCAACATGGTAAAGTTGAAATAATTGCTAATGATCAAGGAAATCGAACAACACCATCTTACGTTGCATTTACTGATACTGAACGTTTAATTGGTGATGCTGCAAAAAATCAAGCAGCTATGAATCCATCAAATACAATATTTGATGCTAAACGTTTAATAGGACGACGTTTTGATGATGATACTGTACAAAAAGATATTAAATTATGGCCATTTAAAGTTATTAATGGTAAAGATCGAAAACCATTGATTGAAGTTCAATATAAAGGCGAAAGAAAGGTATAATAGCAAGAAAAGAAAAATAAATTAAAAACAACGTTTTCTTGTTAAATTTAGCTTTTTTCTGCAGAAGAAATTTCTTCAATGGTATTAACAAAAATGAAAGAAACAGCTGAAGCTTTCTTAGGAACGACGATTAGACAAGCTGTGATTACTGTTCCTGCCTATTTCAATGATTCACAACGACAAGTAAGAAAAAATACAACACATAATAGAATCTTAGAACTCAATCAACGCATTTCTTTAACTTATAAGTAATTTCAAAGAAAAAAAATACAGAAATATTTCAATTGAAAATTACAGAAAAAAAAAACTTAATAGATAATCTTTCTATCTATTCAGGAAATACTATCACTTATAAACCTATGAAGGTGCAAAATATCTTTTTTTTTCTGCTACGAGAAGCACTCAATGACATACGGTATAAAAAAACGCTTTATATCAAATAGCCTTGTTTATAATATCATTAGCATCGCTTATCTATGCAACTGTCCATATATGTATATGTGATAACTAACTAGCAGTGGCTTTTTCTTTTGAAGCATCTCATAATACATGCTGATTCATTGTAGTTAAGTCCATGAATAAGAGTTAACATAAATGGAACAAAATGATGCTTAGAGAAAACGATCATAAATACATATCATACAAATAAAAAAATAAAATTTTTTTTCCTTTTTGGATTAAAAGAAAATATATGAAATTATATTCGTAGGATATGACTCAATTAAAAGAAATTCTATTATATTTAAGGCAACGAAAGATGCAGGCATAATTGCTGGCCTTGATGTTCTTCGTATAATAAATGAACCAACAGCTGCAGCACTGGCATATGGTCTTGAAAAAAGACTTCAACGTGATCAAAATATTCTTATATATGATCTTGGTGGTGGAACATTCGATGTATCAGTTTTAACAATAAGTGGTAATGATGCTGGTAGTGGTTCTGTATTCGAAGTAAAAGCTACTGGTAAGAGAAATAAAAAAAAAAATAAAACAAACAAAATTGAAACATTTTTTTCAATTTTAGCTGGAGACACACATTTAGGTGGTGAAGATTTCGATAATCGTTTAGTACAACATTTTGTGGAAGAATTTCGTCGTAAACATGGTAAAGATATATCAAAACATACAAAAGCTGTACGTCGTTTACGAAGTGCATGTGAACGTGCTAAACGAACATTATCATCATCAACAACAGCTTCAATTGAAATTGATTCACTTTTTGATGGAATTGATTTTAATACACAAATAAGTCGTGCTCGTTTTGAAGAACTTAATATGGTAATTAAAATAGAAAATATAAAAAATATTTTATGTTTCGTGTATATTAGGATATGTTTCGAGGTACAATGGGTCCTGTTGAACAAGCACTTCGTGATGCTAAATTACAAAAACATGATATTGAAGAAGTTGTTTTAGTTGGTGGTTCAACACGTATACCAAAAGTTCAACAATTATTATCAGATTTTTTTAATGGTAAAAGTTTAAATAAAAATATTAATCCTGATGAAGCTGTTGCATATGGTGCTGCTGTACAAGCTGCTATACTTACAGGTATTTAAAAGAAAATAAAAATACAAACAACAACAAAATTTTGATGTTTATTTTCATATATTGAAATTTTCAGGTGATCAAAGTGAAATGATTAAAGATGTTTTACTTATTGATGTAACACCATTATCAATGGGTATTGAAACAGCTGGTGGTATTAT